CGTGTTTAGGGGGAACTCGACAATTTACCATTCGGTCCGCAGGATCGAGTATGTCATTTCCCGCAGCCACGACAAGAGGTTTTCGTGTCGTGCCGCCTTCTCAAAGTTCCACACTGATGCCGACTGAATATACTTACTGATGGAGTCAAGCTTCAGGTCATCATGGAAATCCACATTCCTCATGAACCACGGTGCTCCGACGGGTATCCTACAAAAACGGGATTGAATGACTTGAAGCGGCTTCAAATTAGTGCGGGCCGCGTGAGTGAACACTACACTGGCATAGGTCATGACCGGACGTATGCAAGTTTTGTAGAGTGGCACCTTGTTGCGAAGGGACTTCGCTTGCAAATCATTGGATAGAGGCATCCTAGTATGAAAGCGGCACGGTCATGTAGCGTTTTTAAGTGGGGACGGAATATCATCCATCTGTCGAGGCTGACGCCTTGATACTTAACCTTCAAGACCACCGGTATGGGCTGGCCAAAAAGAGTTATGGGGCGATAGCGGAGGTATTAACGCGCCTATTAGGGAGTAGGGTTTTGTGTGACAATAGTCACTCGTATTTATAGTAGAAAAATGGATGTAGCTTGGTCATGAATTTTCACACACGTTGGAATTATAACCACAAATTTTTTTTTTTGGTGCCGTGTGCCGAACCTCCTACGAAGTCCCCGTGCCTAGGGGGCGCGTGGGGTATGTGAGATTCAACGATCTGCAGGTGTTGAGAGCACTAATGTCAACATTAAGGAAACTTTAACTAATCATAGTTAACTAAATGGTAATGTTGTGCCAACATATATACATCCTTAAGGAGATGAAAACCAGAGACTTCCTTTAATTCCTAGCCTTTTCCCGAGATCCGCTTTCCTACTTAAACTATGAAAACCAGACTATTCGATAATGATTTCGTGTTTTATAAAACACGATTAAATTCGTATTGGACCGTAAACGTGTCTTGTCGACCGGTGTTTCTGTCTCAGTTTCACTTTAATTAAAATATACGAGTATAATGAAAGTGTTGCTGATTGTATTGACTACGCACTATGGCGGTGAAAACGGCGCGAAATAAGACATTCTGTTTATTTTAATGTTGGTACTTTTAAAGATGTTAAGGAAACTAGATGTCATTAGGTGGCTCTTTGGAGTAGTTTACCGTGGTCGGACGGAACAAATAGTACATAATTCGAATCTTCTTTGTCTCTACCTTAACACACTAAGTGGGGTCGGTACAGCAATTTTTCTATTCCATTCTCTTCTATCAGCCGTCATATCAACACTTACTCCTCTCTTTCTCATATCGTCATTCACATACTGCATCCATGTCTTCTTTGGTCGACCTCTTCCCCCTCTACTTTCAACTACCATTTCCATACATCTCCTCTCTACGCATCACATGTCCATACCACGTTAACCGTCTGCTCTTTATTTACTAATCACTGGACTACTTTCACACTGCCTCTAATTCTAGGACATAATTCGAATAAAAGTTCGAAAGGCAGACGTCCTATCGCGAATGTAGACTGCCTGAGCTGCGTTCTCTTTTTTCCTCTACCTATGCTGATAGCCTTGAGAGGCTATTTCAGCTTCTCCTTGACGTGTAGGTAAGCTCACATGGCTCAAACCGGAGTGTTGCTAACACTGGCCCTAGAAAGAGCAGTGCTTCGCAGAATCTACAACCGGATCAGAAACGCGACCTACTGAGAAGATCCGGCGAGAAACTCAGTGAGCTTGTCTATGGGATGTTTTATCTATCAATCGATCATACTTTTGTCACCACACTTAATGTATAGACAGGAACACGAACTCACTACCGCCCCTAACTGTTAGATATTAACGTTCGTGCAATTCTTTTCAATGGGATGTTTTTTTATTTATTTTTCACGGTAAAAGTATACAAAACCGTATCGGTAAGCCGTATAGCATTTTTATTACGTTTTTATTAGCGATCAATTGTGAATTTATAATTCAACAGCCGCCCAGTTCTGTATTCGATATAACATTAGTAACACTTTCTCTGGAGGTTACAAATGTACATTGTCACGGTTATATTGGATAGTTTTATTGTCTATACAAAATTCGGAACGCCATTGTTTCTGATTGCGCAGTCTTAAATCGGTTGATTTGAGGAGATTTTACTGTTTTTTTTTTCGTTCCTCTTTTTAATTGGGAAATTTTACTTCTTTACTTCTTTCTTTATAAGGGCAACCCTTTGATATGTGAAGTAAGTTTGCAGTGTACCTACGTTAAGAAATCTGACAGCAAGAAGTTTGCAATGTTCTGAGAATTTTGTAACGATACCCGTGTTTGTTTATGCTTTGCAAGCATGGATTCCATGTATGCGTGTTTAGGACATGTTTACGATTGACATCCACAATGAAAGAATAACAATGTGTAATTAAAATTAAACCAGCAAAGATTAGTTTAGGTATTAACGGGTGGTAGGACGTTTTGTGAGTCCGCACGGGCACCATCCCGCCTATTTCTGCCGTGAAGCAGTAATGCGTTTCGGTTTGAAGGACGGGGCAGCCGTTGTACTGTAAAACCGGAGACTTAGAACTCATGTCTCAAGTTGGGTGGCGGCATTTACGTTGTAGATGACTATGGGGTCCGGTAACAACTTAAAATCAGGTGGGCCGTGAGCTCGTACATCCATCTAAGCAATAAAAAAAACATTGGGAGGGCAGTCTCATCAGTATATTTAGGGCAATTAAAAAACAAAAAACAGAAATCGATATTTTAATTTGTAGAATTTTGAAACCTTTTAAACAATTCTGATAATTGTATCTCAAGATGAGTGGCGACGCGGTAATGTTATCAGGCCCATATAGCCAGTTATGACTTAATTTTAAGTAGACCATGAATATAATCTACAGCAAAAAAAAAACTGAAGCAAGTCTATATTAACGAAGCATACGTTTAAAGTAATTCCTAATCTGCATAATATCTTTCAAAAACTGTAAATTCCGCGTAAACAAATATTTGTATCACCAGGAAATTCTCAGAAATAAATATTTTGCAAAAAAAAAAACAAGGGATTCATAACGACAAACCAGAAACACGACGGAACGTAAGGTTTTATCATTGCAGGATCTGCGGGCGTGGCCATTATTGTACAGGTAGATCTTTTCGCCATGCAGGTACGGAATATGGTGAAAATTAATAATTATTTTATTAACAAATTCATTATTCAATACCTACTGAAAAATATGTTTTTTTTAAATCATAGTACCGTACACGAAAGTTTCAACAATAATTGTCATTCCTAAAAATTTATATTACCTGTTTTAAAATTTATAAAAAACGAGGCGGGAAGTTTGCGGATTCGAGGCATACGTGTTGTTACTCATAGAGCCAATAATCAGTTAAATGAAAAAATCACACAGCCATTAAAACTTACATGTTAACTGTCTCTATTTAATCACTTTTAAAATAAGCAGTGTTAAATATCAACAAATAAAAAAAAACTCGTAAAAACTTTCCAAAGACACCTGAATTCATATCTGTTTCTCGTATTATAAAATTCCACGCGGTTGATGGCCGAGACTGGCCACATATTAAGGCATGGAAGCAATGACAAATATATATTTTAAGACCTCTTGATATTCCTAACGTGTTTTGGTCGAGTGTTAACATAGCTACCCACATTCGAGACTCGGCTTAAATAAGTGTTTGTATAGCTCGTGTGTATTCAGTTTTGTTTTTTCTTTTGATAATTCATTTCGAAAATATATGATAAAACTATGTCACTAGTTTTAATTTTAAGCTTCGATGAAAAGTATTGTCGATCGAAGCTATTAAAATGTGTGCTTTTACTTTCAATCTTAAATATAATTTTATGGTTCTAATATATTAAAAATTAAAGATTTTTTTCTATGTAAGTATCCATATTAGATTAGATTTCGTATTCACGAACAATATCGTATATAAACTGTTAAGTGGCAATGAGGATCTAGAACAATACAATTAGATTTATTTTTCTAAAGTATGTACATACACTTCTGAGATCATAACTTAAACGTACCTAGTTAGGTATAAAAAACTTAAATTCAAATGATTTTCATGTTGGCGACACCGAAACATTTTGATGCCTTTTTTAACGGCTATAGAAGAAGGAAGGCTACAGAGGTTTTCGGCTCAAAAACAAAAGAGAAGAAGGAATAAAAATATCAGAAATAAAATAAAAATACTCCATAACAGAGTCCTTAATTTGTACATTTTATTTTTTATGCTTATGGACTTTTACATACGTTCAAAACAAATATAATACGAGAGCCGTTTGGAGCCATGTTTTGGATTTTACTGGTATAGAATACGAGTTATATAATAACGTACAATAACAACTGATGAAGTCGACGTGGCCTAAAGGATAAAACGCCTGTTGCATTCATATCAATGAGACTGTGCCGGTATTCGAATCTCGCAAACAGGTGCGATTTTTTTAAATTAAATACGTACTTATCAAATGTTCAAGAATAAATTCCTCTGTAAAGGAATGATACCGTGCTATAAAAAACAAACCCGTAAATGCAATACTGAAAATAAGATGAAGGAATGTGAAAGTAATGTTGTACGAGGATGAACAGTCTTGAAATTACAAACTCTGTTATGATGAGGAGGGGACGCTTAGGGACTTATATAGCAGAAAATATTATATTATTGGTCAGCATAGATAATAAACTTAACTGTTGGTCAGCGATAAATTTTACTTAATTTTAGAAGAAAAACGAAAAACATATCTATATATCCATAGGATCACAGACCCCATGGCAATAGACGTGTAAGTTGATGGAATTTACCCATTCAATAAATATGTTATTGACATTGTGATCATATTTTTGTTATAATCAAATGTACATGCTTTTATAATTTAACCTAAATTTATTTTCGTTAATAAAAGTAGCCACAGACCAAGTCTATCTAAAATTTTACCCGTGCGAGCTTAGAAATGAGACAATTTAAGTCAAGTATTATTAAATTGCTGAAGCTTGTAAACTTACAATTTTTTCTTGTCACAGTGTATTTAAAACATACTGCTACATGAAATATCGTTTCGTATCTTTCACGGTAACACAGAGCACGCACAGGTTTCACTAAACAGACACTTTTAGTAATTTTTCGTGTTTTTATTACTTGTTATAAAGGGTCACACGTAACATCAGCTCAAAGGCTGCGCGAATACTGGCGAGGCGAGAGGTCTCGCCCGTCTATCATGGCGCATGTGCCTGCGCAGCCTTCTAGAGTTCATCGAACGAGTTCCGCTGAGAGCGTAACGCTGAGAAAAACCTTTGCTAATAATTAGTATGTGAGCCTTAATTCGTTTTAGCTGTCGTTTAACAGATCAGCTGTCAGCAACTGTTGCCCATTTTATGACCTACAAACATCAACGGATCTGTTAACTAATTACAGCTATAATTTATGGGTTTTCTTTAATGGCACTAATCCGAGCTGACGCCCTTATACCGCGCTAAAATACATAGACCACATAGCAAGACATGCCACAATGTCCACAGCGCTCCTGGAGTTAAGATTAAATCGCATTGGTACAACGCTGTACCACCCTTCAAACGAGTAGGCAGGATTGTTGAGTAAATGTGAAAATTATTAAAGTAACTAATGGGATTTGGATGGGCAAGGGCTCGTGGTAATTACAGGTAACCGTGTGTAGGTTTACGACAAAGGGAAGATCTTCCACAGAGCGGGTGTTATTTGCTCGGTAGACTGACGCGCGACGGTCCAAATGTTGTTGTTCGAAACTTGTACATATGCACGCTTATGTTGAAAATGTCGTATCAAATCAAATCAAAAAAAATTATTCAACATAAATGAAAGTACATACTTGTTGAACGTCAAAAGAACTACCGCCAATTCACAAGAACTAGCCTCCGTCCTGAGAAGAATTGGCAAGAAACTCAGCGGGCATGTCTTTTTTCATTTTTAAATATGAATTTTTTTTTTTTTAATATTACATTTTTTTAATATATGCAGTTTTTACAATGAGTATTATAACGTAACAATTAATAAAATATTGAAATGCCCGAAGCGAGCAACTCATTCCCACTTTGTGCAATCTTCTAGTAAACGTAAACGTAAACGAGATTCAGGCATTTGTCAAATACATTTTGTTTCATGATAGCTAAGTACATGCCACATCACTCTCCTCCGAGATCGGAGGTCGTGTCATTAAGCTAGCGTTGTCCGTGTAGACTAGTGTAGAGATTAGCTTGCAAGTGCCAGTGGTGCTCGAAGTCTGCGGTGAGTCGAGGCTGAGCTTGAATGCTGCGTGAGTACCGTGAATAATCCATGTGATGCAGAGCTGCCGTGCCGGAGATGTGTGACCCCAAGCGTTGATGATTCGGTCGTGGGCTGCGATGGACTTTAGTGGCGTGATGAGGCGGTGAAGATGCGTGCCGAAGGATCAGGATGCGCGATGAGTCGGCTGCAATGGACCTGTTGAGACTGCGATGCTGGCTTGCTGTGGGACAACTGTTGATAGAATTGTGGTAGCCAGAGTTCTTGATGCGCTGCAATTGTTCCGTCACGGGTCACCAGTGTAGGATGCTTAACGACGAAGGGAAGATCTTCCACCGAGCCGGCGATCTTGCTCGGTAGACCGACGGTCCCGGATGTTGTCGTAAGCGTCGTAATATCGTGAGCGAGATTCAGGCATCTGTCAAATATCTTGTGTTCTATGATGGTTACCCGCCACAAACTCTCAATTTCGCCAATCATATTAGGTACCAAGAAATCAATAATTGTTAACAATAGTTTTGAAAATTCTTCAGATAATGTGGCTGTTTTATTGTTGGAATGGTTCGTCTGAATTTATCATGAACTTTTGGTCAAAAACTCTCAATCACAAGGCATAGATCATTTTCGGTTTCCAATAAAACACTGTGTCGAGTTTGTCTGCGTTTGGATTTTTGGTTTTGTCTTGATGGCTTTATGAAGGCTGATTTCTTGAATGAAATCGTTTAATTTTATAAAATTACAGAAGTGAGAAAAAATAATAATTTGTTTTCTCGATTCCTTATGAAGTATTCATTGCAATGTCACTTAATTTCTACAGACTAGTTAATTTCACTTTAAATTGGGCCTAAAAGACACGGCTTTACACAGCACCAGCAGCAGCGGCTTAGTTGTGCCCATCTTTTTTCTTTCCAAGCCTCTTATGAGGTCCCCACGCATTTAGGTGACTTCAAAATTTCTGCTTAAGATTTAGGTATATTTGGCTTATTAAAATATCGTCACATTTTAGGATTTCGCGTTAAACTCAAGTGGTTGCCAATTCGCCTTCGACGGAATGCTCATATTATTTCTCTGCTTTATACCATCCTCTTTAATCCTTCCCCTCCTTCTTATTTCAAAAGACCCTTAGAGCTTGTCCGTGATATCCCTGTATCCCTGAGATCATCGGAAAACATGCAATTAATGACGTCAGTGCATTCGACAAGGTTTTACGATCATTCCTTCACCGTTCAAGCTATTCGTTTGTGGAATGTATTCCCGGCACGTTATACGACATCCTGAAACATTAATTTCGTTCAAACGACTGATTAACGAGCATTATTTAAACAATTTTCTGTCAATCAGTTTAATTTGTGTTAAGGTAGAATTTGAAATTTTGATTTAAACTTAAATTGTAATTACGTTTCATAGGTATTACATGGATGTTTTATAGGTGTTTTTTCATTGGTGGTAGGACCTCTTGGGAGTCCGCACGGGTAGGTACCCCCGCCTATTTCCGCCGTGAAGCAGTAATGCGTTTCGGTTCGAAGGGTGGGGTAGCCGTTGTAACTATACTGAGATCTTAGAACTTATATCTCGAGGTGGGTGGCGCATCTACGTTGTAGATGTCTATGGGCTCCAGTAACCACTTGACACCAGGTGGCCTCTGAGCTCGTCCATCCATATAAGCAATAAAAAAAATTTAAAAAAAAAATGTAAATTGATTTCTTATTTATGTGTAAAGAAGCAAAATTATGATTACATTGTTCTCTCTCTCTTCCCAGCTATTTATCCCATATGGTGGTGGGGTCAGCTTTCCTGACTTTACTACTCAACTTCGCTCTGTCTTCGACATCCTCGTCAGCAACATTGCATTATCTCTTGTCCTTCAGCACTACGTCCCTCCACCTTGTCTTGGGTCTACCCCTAGGTCTTCGACCGGGGAGGTCGAGCAGTAGCGCCAAATTTCCGATGTAGTCAGGCGGCTTTCTTTTCACGTGACCATACCATCTCAGCCTACTCTCCTGCATCTTGTCGGCGATGTTCCGTACACCTAGGCTTCTACGCGCGTACTCGTTGCGGATTTTATCGAGCCTAGTCACGCCGCACATCCACCTCAGCATCTTCATTTCAGCAACTTGAATGGCATGCACGTTCCTTTTGGTTGTCGCCCATGTTTCGCTGCCATACATAAGAACAGGCCTTATTATGGTCTTATAGATCATACCCTTGAGCTTAACGGGCATCCTCCTATCGCAGGTGACACCACTTTCTTCTCGCCATTTTAGCCACGCTGCGGCTATTCGGTGCTGAATTCGGTTCGGTATGATTAAGTACATTGTTCATGTTTGTTTATTAGTATAGTGATATGTCGAATTCGGTGGCCGGAGATTGTAAAAATCCATCCACTAAACGACTCCCTTGCGCTCTCGCTGGATGCGCGATTCCCACCCGAGGCACAATCTTTCTAAAGCAATTCCACAGACCTGTAGCTCCGTAGAACTACAGTCATGCTGCGCTAGACAGCTTGTAGCACGCCACGTGGCTTTGCCCTTTTAAGTCCCCAGTTCGGCGACGACGGGTCGATGCGGACAATGATGAACTCTTCCTTTCTTGTTCCGCTGCTCCTTCTGCGAGTATCGCTAGCATTACGTATTCTGACAGCATTGGCTGTGCCCCTGGTTTGCTGATGTCCCTGATAGACGGCAACTACATACTGTTAGGTAACCCATATGCTCGTCTATCGATAGATGCAATAATATAAAAAATACACAACTGTAACAAAATCCGTGTGAGGAAGGCAAAGCTTTAACTTATATAAATTGTTTTTATTTTATCAATTCAATGTTTCTTCTGATTTAAGCGTAAAATGGTGATGCCTTATCAAGTAACTGTGCTATAAATGTGCTCAACAGTGGGAGATAAAACATATTTGGTTATGCCCTCCATTTTTTTTAAAAAAAACATAAGATTCTCAGTAAATACTTAAAACCATTGTACTAAGAGGTCTTTTAATTTAATCGCCTTTAATTATAATTTAAACACCTCTTCTTGGGTTTATGTCTCACCTTTTTTTATTTCTTTTTTTTTTTATTGCTTAGATGGGTGGACGAGCTCACAGCCCACCTGGTGTTAAGTGGTGGAACCCATAGACATCTACAACGTAGACGCGCCACCCACCTTGAGATACAACTTCTAAAGTCTCAGTATAGTTACAACCCTTCAAACCGAAACGCATTACTGCTTCACGGCAGAAATAGGCAGGGCGGTGGTACCTACCCGCGCGGACTCACAAGTGTGTCCTATCACCAGTAAACCTCATCTAATTTAATGTTAACTAGATGATGACCGAGCTTTGCTCGTTTTTTTTGATAACGCCATTTTGTTGTGTCTTTAAAGCGGTTAGTTGCCCTCAATTAAGAAAAATAGTATTCTTATTCGCCAATAGATGTCGGGAAGAGTTGATTATTGAAAACACGAATAAAACAACATTTTCTGAAAAGAAATCGTAGCTAGATCGATTTATCGCCCCCGAAATCCCCAGTATACCAAAATTTTATGAAAATCGTTGGAGCCGTTTCCGAGACTCAGATTTTATATATATATACAAGAATTGCTCATTTAAAGGTATAAGATTCATTCCTTTTTTTTTACAAGAGTAAAACAGAAAGCAATAGCTTTGTAACAAAGAGCAAAAGCTGTTTGCTACAAAATATTAGGCTGTGCTACCTTATTCCTTTTGCATAATCAACGAACGAATCAAATAAATGTCATTTGGCTATTGTCATTCTCGATAGTTTTGTTTCGTCGTGACTTTCAGTTTTAGTGTTAACACGGTTTAAGTATAATTTCTGAAAAGGAGAACGTGCAAAATAGCCCGAAATGCCTAACGTTTCAGGTAAATGGTCATTTAAAACTAATTATATCAATTCGAAAATAGCTAGTTCATTCTAGAAATTTGTAGGTTAGGACAACTAAACAAAAATGCCGATATTTTTTTTACAGATGTAATTGTGTTGTTATTTAATATTTGGCATTAATAACATGTAAAAATAAATAAGTTTTACTCTATAGGGTCTGTTGCTTCGTCTTTTGTGCTTCATCTTTTATTTAAAATTTAAATAAAATAATAACTTTTTGCTACAAAAAAAATTTGAACACTAAAACAGATTTGTTTCCAGAATTTATTCCAAATTGCTTCGTAGTTATAAATCACGGTTGTATAAATTGGTTTGTTAGTGAAATTAGCAGCAAATAATATCTAATAGTTCATGAAATAGCAATATTATGTGGCAGTTTCTGGGAAGTCATTGACCTTTAATTACTAAACAATGTCACATCTAGGTCAAGGGCAATGTTTTGTATTCATGTATAATAGTTCAATATATGTAACTTAGTTTTTTATGAATTTTTATCAAGTTAACTTCAAATTCATATTATATTATATTAATTAACAAAAAATATAGTAAACATATTTTAATTTTTTTTTCATTATCCAGATTTTGTTAATGTACATAAAAATATACATTACACTAATACTTAATTATTCAATGCAATATACAATATATACATTTATAAAGTATATTTCAAATTTCTTCAAATTTCTATTAGTGTGTTATTTAATAAAAATATAAAAAAATGTGGCTAGCAAGGGATGGATAGAATGTTTCAAAAGTTCTTAATTTCTTCTTTAAAAGAATATTATCACTGGACCTGTAATTTGTCAGATTACAAGGTACTTTTTTATACAAAATCCAGACTATATAGGACTCTTAGGTACTCTATAATCGGACAAATTCGATAATTCGACACTGCCCCGAAAAACGTGTGTCGGGTTATTGGGGGTCCACTGTAATTTAAAATAAATATTCCAAATTACGTATTTATAAACATATTTCATGTTGCAGTGAAGGTAAAATGGGGCAAGGAAATGTACCCAGATGTGGAGGTGAATACAGACGATGAACCGGTACTGTTCAAGGCGCAGATATTTGCACTGACAGGGGTTCAGCCAGAGAGACAGAAAGTTGTCTGCAAAGGAGTCACATTACGGGATGACACATGGGGCAATTTTAAATTGACGAATGTGAGATTTGTTGTCATTTAAAATTATACGAAATAAAGTACTTTCTGAAGTGAATTATTTGAAAAGATTTCTAAATAATTAATTTATGGTAGAAAAGTAAATTGAAAAATAAAAATTTTTTTTTTTGGATATTTAAATGGCAAGGTGAAAATTTCAGAACGCCTTAGTACTTGTCATGGGCAGTAAAGAGGAAGACGTGCCAGCTGCACCAGTGGAACAGACACGTTTTGTCGAAGACATGAATGAAGCTGAACTGGCTACAGCCGTGAGTATGATCAAGTCTTTTGTGTTCAACCAAACATGGTCTTACTATGAGAAATGTAGGCAGCGGCTTGGCTATGCCTCTGGCATTGCTGAAGTCCATGGACGACGGTAACCACTCACCATCAGATGGGCCGTATGCTCGTCTGCCTACAACGGCAATAAAAAAAATTCTTAACCAGGGGCACACTTACAAAAACAAAATTCATTGAAGTAAGGAAAACTTTATGTTCTTTACTCAAAAGAATAAATATCAGCAGTAATTTCAAGCTTACACTACAGTGATGTGCCAATCTTCTTCTTTTTCTTTGTTTTTCTTTCATTAATGTAGATCGTGACCATATATGATCACTCGTGTCCTATTTACTCATGTCCTCCGCCAGTTTAATAGATCATTGCAGAGATTCTCGTGTGGTCTCGACAATACTTTTAGATCATTATCTTGGAATTCAACCACTGGAGCTTTTCTCCTTTTTTTTTTATTTTTTATTGCTTAGATGTTTGGACGAGCTCACAGCCCACCTGGTCTTAATTGGTTACTGGAGCCCATAGACATCTACAACGTAAATGCGCCACACACCTTGAGATATAGTTCTAAGGTCTCAGTATTGTCACAACGGCTGCCCCACCCTTCAAACCGAAACGCATTACTGCTTCACGGCAGAAATAGGCGGGGCGGTGGTACCTACCCGTGCGGACTCACAAGAGGTCCTACCACCAGTGAAGAGGTCTCCTGCCTATGTACCGGTAGATGTTTGTAGAGGTTTCATTAGGAAACTAATTTGACGATTTTTCTACAACTTTACTTTTTGTTTTCAGATGGATATGCCAGAGGGTCTCATCAACTTGGGTAACACTTGTTACATGAATGCTACAGTGCAGTGTCTGAAAACGGTCCCTGAACTTAGAAATGCCTTGCTCAATTATGATAAATGTAATTATATCCTTTTGTATATATCACCGCATAAACATTTATAGCTTATTGGGTAGGTAGATTAATTTGGAAGGTTGCCCATGCGATGGACCGATCAGGTTAAGTCAGCAGTTGGTGGTTGTTTGCATGAGTGTACCAGGCTCACCACAAACCGGGAGGAGTGGCGATTGCTCGTGAGGCGCATAACGTCTGCCCACAGCAATGATGCTGAATGATGATCACGACTACTCTGACAAGAGTGACACGACAAAGGATAGATTAATTTATATAATTACTAGCTGACCCGGCAGACTTCGTAGTGCCTTAATCGATAAATAAACTTTTGTATAAAATAAACTTAAAACAAACAAAAGGAATCCGTCCGACGGGAGACACGTCAAAGGAAAAACAAAATTGTTATTTTTATTTAATTCCGAGCATTTTCATATTTATCTACCTTTTAAACCTTCTCTGGACTTCCACAAATAATTTAAGACCAAAATTAGCCAAAAATCAGTCCAGCCGTTCTCGAGTTTTAGCGAGACTAACGAACAGCAATTCATTTATATATATTAGATAGAAGATAATATTAATGTTAATTTATAGGAAAATTTATAGGAAATTTCTAATTTATATTATAATATAAAGGTAATTTATAAGTGGAATTTCCGATTTTTTATTCTTTTTTTTATTGCTTAGATGGGTGGATGAGCTTACAGTCCACCTGATGTTAAGTGGTTACTGGAGCCCATAGACATCTACAACGTAAATACGCCACCCACCTTAAGATATAAGTTCTAAGGTCTGAAGTATAGTTACAACATCTGCCCCACCCTTCAAACCGAAACGCATTACTGCTTCACGGCAGAAACAGGCAGGGGGTGATACCTACCCGCACAGACTCACAAGATGTCCTACCACCAGTAAATACGCAAATTATAATTTTGCGGGTTTCATTTTTATTACCCGATGTTATTCCTCCACCGAAAATATTATATATATAAATATATAAATTACTATTTATTATAATTGAGTCGACTATTATCAAAGCCGGCAATGTGACTTTTGGACAATTATTGGTAAATCAGAAAAACGAATTATTGACTTTGTATTCCATTGGCAGTCACAAAACTCTTCTGAACGACATCTTAGATAAATAACAGGTTAAGTATTAACCTTTATTTAATGCAGGTTTTGAACCGTATTCTTTGAAGGAGACGATTATATTCANATCAGAAAAACGAATTATTGACTTTGTATTCCATTGGCAGTCACAAAACTCTTCTGAACGACATCTTAGATAAATAACAGGTTAAGTATTAACCTTTATTTAATGCAGGTTTTGAACCGTATTCTTTGAAGGAGACGATTATATTCAAATCAATCTGTATTGACATATCAATAACATTTTTTTATCCAAATGCACAGATTGCCACCTTTGATAATAGACGACTCAATTCATGTATTTTTTTTAAACCAAAATATCTAAACAATTGAAAGATATGTTACTGCCTTTGTTAGCAGATATATGCCCCAACCTTTTTTTTTAATTGCCCTTGTAGGCAGACGATCATACGGCGGCCCACCTGATGGTGTGTGGTTACCGTCGCCCATCGACTTCAGCAATGTCAGGGGCTGCTGTCTACTGTGAAGTACTACACACTCCACAAGAAATCTAACGCTAAGGGGTCACTGTTGGTCATGGATTTTATGATTTTAGACACCACTAGTAATACTATGTGTCACAGTGGTGATAACCTTAAAACATATTTATTTAATATTGTCTCGTGCATCACCTTTACACGTTGATGGGGCTACAGCAGTAGTTCTTCTCAACATATAAGAAGTGAATATAAGATATGAAGAAAAAACCACTTGGAATGCCAGTCTACTGAAGAAAACTCTAATAACACACATTTTTATAATTTTTTTTATTGCTCGTGTAGGCAGGCAAGCACACGGCCCACCTGATGGTGAGTGATTACCTTTGCCCATGGACCAGGAGCAGAGCCAAACCACTGCCAAAAATTATAGAACATCTTCCTGTTACAATTTAGTCATCATCATAGTCGGTTATTGTTGGCAGAGCGTTTGTAATCATGTGCAATTCTTGTTTATTAAATTTAGTACTATTTATTTATTTATTACACTTGATGTAAAATTTACATTGGCGGACTTAATGCCTGAGGCATTCTCTACCAGTCAACCAAAGGTAGTGCAGTGTGAATAGTGGTAGGTGCAATGAAATTTATATTAATTTACAAATACATACACAAAAAATAAGTATATACATACATATATACACAATCACATATACATACATACATACATATAATAGTTCATACAGTTTTAAAGGAATATATACTATTTCAAATAAAATAATGAACAAGAACATTTAAGTCGTCGTGGCCTAACGGATAAGACGTCCGGTGCATTCGTGTTGAGCGATGCACCGGTGTTCGAATCTCAGGCGGGTACCAATTTTTCTAATGAAATACGTACTCAACAAATGTTCACAATTGATTTCCACGGTCAAGGAATAACATTGTGTAATAAAAATCAAACCCGTAAAATTATAATTTGCGTAATTACTGGTGATAGGACCTCTTGTGAGTCCGCGCGGGTAGGTACCACCACCCTGCCTGTTTCTACCGTGAAGCATTTATGCGTTTCGGTTTAAAGGGTGAGGCAACTGTTGTAACTATACGTGAGACCTTAGAACTTATATCTCAAGGTGAGTGGCGCATTTACGTTGTGGATGACTATGGGCTCCAGTAACCACTTAACACCATGTGGGCTGTGAGCTCGTACACCTATCTAAGCAATAAAAAAAAAAACATTTGTCTTGGTTGACAGCATCAACGGGCGGCGACACAGCGGGAGAACTAACGGCGGCACTAAGCGAGACGGTCTCGGCCCTGGACTCCGGGGGCTCCAGCGCGTGCGGCGTGGCGGCGGCGCGCCTGCTGGGAGCCCTGCACGGCGCGGCGCCTCGCTTCGCGGAGCGGGCGGCCGCGGGGGGCTTCGCGCAGCAGGACGCCTCCGAGTGCTGGACCGAGATCGTGAGGGCGTTGCAGCAGAGGCTCCCGGCCGCACCCATGCCAGATAAGAACGCGTAATGTATTCTTGATATTTATATGAGCGACTGTTCTTTAAGGATTCGACCAGCCCATACCGTGGGCCCCGAAGGTCAAATATTTAGGCGTCACCCTCGACAGTAGGATGACATTCCGCCCCCACATCAAGACGGTACGCGACCGTGCCGCCTTCATTCTAGGACGTCTCTACCCGATGATATGTAGGCGAAGTAAAATGTCCCTTAGAAATAAGGTGACACTCTACAAAACTTGCATACGCCCCGTCATGACCTATGCAAGTGTAGTGTTCGCTCACGCGGCCCGCATACACTTAAAATCCTTCCAAATCATTCAATCCCGTTTTTGCAGGATAGCCGTCGGAGCCCCGTGGTTCGTCAGGAACGTCGACCTCCATGACGACCTGGACTTAGAGTCCACCAGTAAGTATATGCAGTCGGCGTCGATGCGCCACTTCGATAAAGCGGCACGACACGAGAACCCTCTCATCGTGGCCGCCGGTAACTACATTCCCGATCCTGCGGACAGAATGGAAAGCAGTCGACGTCGCCCAAAACACGTCAATTCGGATCCTCCCGATCCACTAACGGTGCTTTTAGGTACTTCAAGCACCGGTCACCGTTCTCGTCGAACCCGTCGCTTGCGACGAAGGGCGCAACGAGTAAATTAACTCTCAGACACAGCCCACTGAGTTTCTCGCCGGATCTTCTCAGTGGGTCGCGTTTCCGATCCGGTGGTAGATTCTGCGAAGCATGGCTCTTGCTAGGGTTCGTGTTAGCAACGTCATCAGGTTTGAGCCCCGTGAGCTCACCTACAAAAGTTAGGGTTCCGCTGATATAGCCTCTCAAGGCTATCAGCTTAGGTAGGGAAAAAAAAAAAGATGTTAGAGTTAAGTCAAGATTTCTAATAATTAGTTTATTCATAATTACGATTTGGATACATGAAATCTATTGTTACGCGCTGGCGTTCGAGATAAATAAAAAAATATACTGAAGTACAAATTAAAACTATTAGCACTTAGAACACTTAAAAATTCTCAATTCGCTTCTTCCGCTTCTCTTCAGGTGATCCGTTCGCTGTTTCGATTCGAGTAGTTCCGATTACTGACTGACTGCGTGCCATCTCTGCAACGCTTTTATAGTCGATACGACATCCCTAGAATTATCGAGAATATTCCACACAAGTCGAGTGTTGTGTGTTTCCGCTATTTGGCAATAGATGGCGTTGTACTTCTCAAGGGTTTTAGATGCTACTAGATTCTTCGATATTCGGCGATAAATGGCATTACTCTTAATGGCGTAACACTATTAACCCATGTAATCTATTGCAGGTGGTATTCGAATAATTTTCTTTGGTAGTTTTTTCCAAAAGTGGTAAACAACTATGGCTAAAGATAAATCTAATCATGGTCTATTGTAATCACATTATAGCGTCTAACATATCAGTGTGAAGTAGCAGGGGTGACATTCTCTACACGAAGCAGTAGCTACAATAGAGCTAGCGAATTTTAATAGTCAATAATAAATTCTACAGGACAAGGGCATCAGTGATCGAGCAATACTTCGGAGGTACCCTGGATGTGGAGCTTGTATGCTCAGAGGCTGATGAGCCCCCGACCCACTCTGAGGAGTCATTCCTCCAGTTGTCCTGTTTCATATCACAAGACGTCAAATATCTGCAGTCTGGACTTAGATCTGTGCGTACTTAAAAAAAAATACTTGCTAACTTTTCTTAAATGTTATGGAGTTTTTTAAGCATATAGATATCATAGTGTAAATACCACTATCTATCTAGATTTGGAGGTTGCTATCTCATTTGTATAGCTATCTATGACTGCATTGCTTTGAATAAAATAAATAAATATTTACTATAAATCACGCCACGTTAACTGGTCCCGTGCTAAGTTCGTAAAGAACTTGTGTTACAGGTACCAGATAACGGAAACAAATGTAAGATTTTTATTATACACATACATATATTTAATAAACATCCATAACCCTGGAAAAGACATTTTTATGTTTATCATACAAATATCTTCTCTTGGCGGGATTCGAACCCGCGACCCCCGTGTGTAGTGACCATGTCACTTACCACTACACCCAGACGGCCGGCCAAATGGATGTATGGTAGCAAATTCATGCTCACCGCTATACTAGCAGACTAACCACCTTACACATAATCAAATATCAAGTAGCTACATAGAAATATTATGATTATGAAATGTATATAAAAGGCGATACTGCATTCGTTAACTATGTTACGCCTTTTTTAATTTATCTTTTTTTATTTTCAGAAAATGGCTGAGCATATAACAAAGATGTCACAAACACTGGGCAGGGATGCTGTGTACACAAAAACTGTGAGCTATTGAACATTCTAATTATATTGCTTTACATAATAATACTGAGATCTTAGAACTTATATCTCAAGGTGGGTGGCGCATTTACGTTGTAGATGTCCATGGGCTCCAGTAACCACTTAACACCAGGTGGGCTGTGAGCTCGTCCACCCATCTAAACAATAAAAAAGAAAATCTAATGTACTATCAACGGGTAATTTCTATGATCAAGGAACAAGCAAAATATATGTAGCAGTATATATTGTGGCTTAAAAGATATCCTATATGCAAGTTTGGTGTAATAATATGAATGCGATGCCACTATGCCAGAGTCAAGCCACGTACCAATTAATTTAGTATTAAAAAATTAATAACACATTATTATTATTTTTTTAAATTGTTATAATTAAAATGTTATTTTCAGAGTAAAATAAGCCGTCTCCCTGCTTATTTGACAGTGCAATTCGTTCGTTTCTACTACAAGGAGAAAGAATCTATCAACGCTAAGATACTAAAAGATGTTAAATTCCCTCTGGACTTGGACGTGTATGAACTCTGCACACCGGAACTACAAGAGAGGCTGACACCGATGCGAAATAAATTCAAGGTATGAAATTTTTTAATTTTGCCATTTCATATGTTTAGTTGTGTGGAAAAATAATTTTATCTATATATTAATACGTGAAGCAAAAACTTTGTATTCCTTTTTACGAAAATTGCGCGGACTGAGGAGTATGAAATTTTCCACAATTATAAAGAATATAGAGAAGAAGTGCACAATGCTAATTTTTTTTTTAAATAATGTATAAAAGATACATTAAATCAATAAAGAAAACATTACATACACTACATACCATGTATTTGACGCACACACGCATGCATACTGTTTATTGTCAAACTTTTGTTCTTGACGTCTGTTGTCGAATTGAGAATAGATTAAATATTGTTTGTCTTTGTTAATATTTTTTATAGTGTAATCTTGGCGAAATTTGTGATTATAGAAGTATAAAATACAACCATAATAGTGTACAAACTTACAATTCCAATTAATTATAGTCGAATTTCGACTACTGCGGGACCTCTAGTTTCTATTGTTATCTATACTGTGGCGGGTAGCCATCATACAACGCAAGATAATTGACAGATGCCTGAATCTCGTTTACGACATTTACAAGATAAGCTTGCATATATGAGTCGACTATTATCAAAGCCGGCAATGTGACTTTTGGACAATTATTGGTAAATCAGAAAAACGAATTATCGACTTTGTATTCCATTGGCAGTCACAAAACTCTTCTGAACGACATCTTAGATAAATAACAGGTTAAGTATTAACCTTTATTTAATGCAGGTTTTGAACCGTATTCTTTGAAGGAGACGATTATATTCAAATCAATCTGTATTGACATATCAATAACATTTTTTTGTCCAAATGCACAGATTGCCACCTTTGATAATAGACGACTCATATATAGTAACATCTCATGATTTAGTTCATCTAGATTAACATAGTTTAATTCTCTAAATATCTTTTCTTAAATATGTCATTTGATATGATAGGAGTGGAAGATGCGAAAGTACAATCATCGCTTAGCTCCGGGAACAAGAGTCACGGGGACAGCAGCAAGGCCAAGAAGAAGCGTGTCTTGCCCTACTGGTTCGAAAACGGTATGCTTACTGTTTGTATGTATGTTGTGCTTATGTTAGTTACAAACTGAATTAGTATCCCAGAATTATAAAGGACTCATATCGATTTTTTTTTGGACTTTCGACTTTTAATTCTAAAATATGAATCTAAAACAACCTTTTCAGCGAGCTCCTAATCATCAACATGACCAACAAGTAGTTAAACAAGGGACAAAGCTATCCATCGGTCACTCCACTACCACATCTACGGCTTGAAATCCTTTATTTGATATTTTCAAAAAAAATACCCTTTCTCGGGTTGGGTCCCTACAATTCTAAGTTTCGATATATTATATTATGTACACGGAATATAGACTGAACCATTAAATCTTCAAACTAAAAAAATTTTTCAAACCACGCGGAATTAATTAGTGATGGTTGGTATCATTCACGTTGTGATGGCCGAGTTTCTCGCCGGATATTCGTCAGTGGGTCGCGCTTCCGATCCGGTGGTAGCATCCTGCGAAGCACTGCTCTTGCTGGGGCCAGTGCTAACAACGCCTCCGGTTTGAGCCTCATGAGCTCACCTACACGCTAGGGTAATGCTGATATAGCCTCTCAAGGTATCAGCATAGGTAGGAGAAAAAAAGGTGGCCGGTGTTATGGGTTCCAAAGATTTCGCAACACCAGCTGAAGGCAGATGTGTTTGTGCAGACGTAGGCAGCAACAACAGCGGCTACTACCGGCTGCAGGCCGTGCTCACGCACCGCGGCCGCTCCTCCTCCTCCGGGCAC